ATCTTTTTTTTAAAAATATATTTTATTGATTTTTTACAGAGAGGAAGGGAGAGAGATAGAGAGTTAGAAACATCAATGAGAGAAACATTCATCAACTGCCTCCTGCACACTCCCCACTGGGGATGTGCCCGCAATCAAGGTACATGCCCTTGACCGGAATCGAACCCGGGACCCCTGAGTCTGAAGGCCGATGCTCTATTTGCTGAGCCAAACCGGTCAGGGCTATTAATCTTTTAAAAGAATCCTCATCTGAGGATATTTTCTCCAACAATTTTTAGTGAGTAGAGGAAGGGAGGGAGGGAGAAAATGAAGGAGAGAGAAAGAGAGAGAGAGAGAGATGTGAGAGAAACACATCGATTGGTTGCCTCCTGCACATGCCCTGTCTGGAGCCAGGGATGGAATCTGCAAGGAGGTACCTGCCCTTGATGAGGAATCGAACCCGTGACCCTCCAGTCTGTGGGTGGATACTCTAACCACTGAACAACCGACCATGGCTTGGTCTTATTTCTTATACCTCAGGGTCTGGAGCTGGGAGTATTGCTCCCCAGTGCTGCTTCTAGACCATTATTCTTCCTTCATCCTTCAAAATCCTCTGCTCCTTTGAAATTCATGTCTGCAAGTGCATCACTCACTGCCCCTAATTGTTGCTAGGGTCTCCCAGCTGCTCTTTCGCCCACACTCACCGATGACTTTAACTTCCTCTTCACACTTATGTCCCTATCACTGTTGTTGAATTCACAATCCATCAGGGTTCTCCCTCTAATTGTAGCCTCTCAACCTTCAGTCTCATCTCCAATGGTTTTTCTCTCCGGCTTGTTCCTAGGTTTTGCCATCTCCAAAATCAACCTCCTCTCATGTACTGAGCTTGAGCCTCCCACCCGATGATCACCTCCCAGCCTTCCAGTCCATTTACTCGTGTATTTACTCAGGTACTTCCTTCACGTCATAGAGACCTCTAAACCACTGATCCTCTCCCTTCTTGTACCATCTACCAACCCCTTTTTTATGTTTACGCGCCTTCTTACCCAATTTATATCACTGATCTAACATAAAACACTCTCTGCAAATACCTTAAAAATCCGTTCTCTCTCTTTTTAGTCATCAACCTTGGTTAATCCCCATGATCCCTCTACTTGCTCCTTGCACCCATTTTTTAAATTATTATTAATCCTCACCCAAGGATATCCTTCCACCTTCCATTGATTTTTAGAGAGAGTGGAAGGGAGGGGGAGAGACATACACAGAGACAGAAACATCGACGTGAGAGAGACACATTGATTGGTTGCCTCCTGCCTGGGGATCAAGCCTACAACTGAGGTACGTGCCCTTGCCTGGAATCAACCCCTGACTCTTTAGTCTCTGTCTGTGGGCTGAGGATCTATCCACTGAGCCAAACGAGCCAGAGCTGCACGCCCCCCCCCCTTTTTTTACTGTCACATTGGGGTTCAGGGCTAGATTCTACTGGCATCTAATCAGTAAACATCAAGGATGCTAAATATCCTATGTACAGGACCATCAGCCGTATCAAACGTGTGAGGTTAATAGAGCCTGCTTTAAATTAATACTACAAGTCTCAAAGGGGCAGGTGACACAGGGTCTTAGCATCTGCTGTGGCCTCTGGCTAGAACATGATTCTTACATGGCTGGCTTCTTATTCACGCTTCCCAGAAAAGTCTCCCTCAGGAGTGGAGGCAACCTCATCACATTCACCTGGTTTATTGCCTTCAAAACATCAGCCATTTTGTTTATGATTTTATTGTCTGCTTCCCTCTCTCTAGAATGTAAGTCACGTGAGCAGTATCCTTATCTTTCTTGTTTACAGCTGTGTCCCCAGTGTCCAACATGGTGCCTGGTACATTATACAGGCACTCAGGAAGTATTTATTGAACACATGGGGGGAAATACAGTTAGTTTTCAAATTTATTCATCAAATATTTTTTAAATATATTTTGATTGATTTCAGAGAGGAAGGGAGAGGGAGAGAGAGAGAGATAGAAACATCAATGATGAGAGAGAATCATTGATCAGCTGCCTCCTGCATGCCCCACCCTGCGATCAAGACCGCAACCCGGGCATGAGCCCTGACCGGGAATCGAACCACGACCTCCTGGTTCATAAGTCAACGCTCAACCCCTGAGCCACGCTAGCCAGACCATCAAATATTTATTGATGATAACACCCAGACACATCTCTGCCCTCTTGGAACTTAGTATAGTGGGAGACTGACATTGAATAAATAAGCACACAATGTAAATAGTTTCAAACTATGATAAGAGCTTTGAAAGCAAAGTATAGGTAAGTAGCGGTGACAGCCTTCAGCAGGTGATCTGACTCAGTCTGAGGTGGGGTAGCCAGGCCAGGCCTCCCAGGAGAAGTGATATTTGAGCTGATAGCTGAAGGATTGGTTGGCTGGCTGGGTAGAGGAAAGTGGGTGGAGGTAAATGGAGAAGAACATCCAGGCATCGAGAACAGAGTGTGCGAAGGCAATTTGGTGGGAAGTATGTTTCAGGAACAGAAAGATGCCAGTGCGGCTCAAGCAGTGTGGTATGGCATTTGCCAAATCCAGCGGAACAATAGGAGCAAAGGAGTGCCATTGGAAAATATAAGGCTTTTCAACAGGGAGTGACAAGATTCTCGAAGTCTGTTTGGAAAAAAAAAAAAGTCACTTCCAGAGGCTAGATTTTAGAAGGACGAGAAGGGAAGCAGGGGATTGCTTTGGAGACAGTGTCCAGGCAAGAGGGGATGGTGGCTTGGCCTGAGGTGGTGGCAGTGCGTGTGGAAAGAAGCTGTATATACTTAAGTAATGAGAAATATGGAATTTTAGAGTTGGAAAGCGCCTTTAAAAAAACACCATTGACCTAGCTGATTTGGTTCAGTCGATAGAGCAGGAGCCTGCGGACTGAAGGGTCCGGGTTAGATTCCAGTCAAAGGCCGGGTGGGTTGCAGGCTCTATCCCCAGTAGGGGGTGTCAGTGATTCTCTCTCATCATTGATGTTTTCTATCCCTCTCTTCCTCTCCCTTCCTCTCTCTGAAGTCAATCTTAGAAAAGAAAAGAAAAAAAGACCATTAACCCCAAAGTAGAAAAAAAATGAATGAATAAAAAGAGTTCATTAAAGACTGCATTTTATAAAACAAACAGGTTAATTGACTTGGTATGAGGGCCCCTTCAATATGTTTATTGAATACAAGAAGGAAAGACCTACAGAGATATGTTTAAGAAGGAGGAACAAAAATGGGAAATGCGTGAGAATTGAGGGGGGAAAAGGAGAGAGAAAAATGAAGTAAGAGAGCGTAAGCAAGGTGTGCGAGTGCATTTTATATGACAAGGTGGGAGGCGAGGAAGACTGGGAGGAACCTGGGCAGGAGGAAGCAAAGACAGACTAATTAATGATGCTGGACTCCAGGAGAGCTGGAGACAGGGAGGGTACAAAGGTAGACTGAGAGGGGAGTGAAATAGGAAGTAGAAAGGCGGGAAGGGGGAGGATAAGCTGTGTGGGAGGAATGGGTGATGTGGGATGCTGGCAGAGGCATCCAGGGGGAGGATGGGGAAATAGTTTGGGGAGAGTCAGAGAAGAAACCTGAGGGTGAGGTGGGAGCCTTAGAGCCGAATCAAAGGTCACGTGAGAGCCAGATGTCAGGGAGGACAGAGCAGTGGGAGAGCCCATAGAGATAGGCTGGTCCAGGCTCACAATGAAGGAGAAATGGGGTGTGGCTGGGG